TTTTTTTTTTTTTCAATTTTTTTTTTTTTTTTTTTTTTTTTTTTTTTGGCAAGCATTTTTTCAACTATTTAAAAATGTGAAAACCGGCCAGGCACATGGCTGTCACATATAGTCCCAGCACTTTGGGAGGCCAAGACAGGAGGATTGCTTGAGCCCAGGAGTTTGAGGCTGCCATGAGCTATGATCACACCACCAAACTCCAGCCTGGGCAATGGAGTGAGACCCTGACTCTGACAAAATTAAGATAAAAATGTGAAAAGTCTTTTTTTTTTTTTGAGACAGGGTCTCCCTCTGTCACCCAAGCTGGAGTGCAGTGGTGTGATCTCGGCTCACTGCAACCTCCACCTCCCAAGTTCAAGCCATTCTCCTGCCTCAGCCTCCTGCGTAGCTGGGACTACAGGTGCACACCACCACACCCGGCTAATTTTTGTATTTTCAGTAGAGGCGTGGGATCACCATGTTGGCCAGGCTGGTCTCGAACTCCTGACATCAGGTGATCTGCCCACCCCGGCCTCCCAGAGTGCTGGGATTAGAGGCGTGAACCACCATGCCTGGCCCAGAAAGTCTTCTTAGTTCATGGGCTGTATGAAAATAGATGACAGGCCAGATTGGGCCCGTGGGCGGTTTGCCAACCCCTGAGCTAAAGGAAAGGATCGGGAGAGGTATTTGGTGAGTTACTGGATTGCTTGGTTTCCTCATAAATGCTCGCCTGTGTGCACCATCACACACCCACGCTTCCCTCTGTCCCCGCCTGAATCAACAGTCATGCAGTGGTCTGTCTCTCTTCCACCTCCCTGATGGGGGACTTCCATGAGGGCGAGGCAGGGACGGAGCTTTCAGCTTCTGGAGCCCCCAGCCCCTCCACGAAGCAGGTTTCTGGGGCACAGACTCAAGGCGAGAGCAGCCATCGTGGGTCCAGTTTGTGCCCTGAGAGCAGAGTTTTCGGAGCTAATGGTAGCAAGAGGACAAGATCCGGTTCTTCATTTATTTCCAAAACCCTCCTTGTTGCTCCCGTAGGAACCTGCGTAAGGGATCCAGTGGCCTGGCTGATGAGATCAATTTCGAGGACTTCCTGACCATCATGTCCTACTTCCGGCCCATCGACACCACCATGGACGAGGAACAGGTGGAGCTGTCCCGGAAGGAGAAGCTGAGATGTGCGTGCCACTGAGTCCCCTTGCTCACACCTGGCCTGGGGTGCAGCCTCCCCTAAGTCCTCAGAACACAAGGCACCCCTGCAGCAGGAGGCTGGGTGTGCATTGGCTTGGAGGCTTGGAGGGCTTGGGGACACCAGCCCTTGTCCCTGTGAGGCTGGCATTGCTGTCTCCCGTTCCCGGCGCCCTCATCCTAAACATTCCTCAGCAGCTTGCGGCGTCCTGGGACTAGAAGGGGGTTGTGCGGTGGCTGTGAAGCAAGGCCCTTGATGCAAAGACCTGGGTTCCAATGTGGCCCCTCTCACCTACCAGCCATGTGACCTTGAACCTTGACCCAGAACGTGGGTATGCTGATTATGTGTGGTTCTGAGGGCTGGGCAAGATCACACAGTTAGCCTTTGGCACACAGGAAGTGCCCCCTATAGTCAGTTTCCTCCTCTCCCTCCTCCGTGGGCTGTGCTGTTGCTGGGTTCCTGAGACCAGCCCCACTATGTTCTGGCTCCCGAGTGGGTTCAGCTGTGGTCCCAGCTGGTCAGCCGCACAGGTCCCAGGCAGTGGCCCGAGTCACATCTTCTTTTCCTGTGGCCTTTCCCATGACTCTTGACATCCCTCTGTGCCCCGTCCCAGGTCAACCTCCTCATCAAGAAAATGTAAACATGGGACTTGACTATATTTAGCACTGGAATGTGTACGTGGGGCTGGTGGGAACCGCCCCGGGGGGGGATCCCTGGTGTGAGCCTGGCTTCCTGTCTGCTCCAAGGGGCGAGGAACAGGACGGACTCAGGTCCAAATCCCTGGTTTCCTGTCCCTTAGTGGTGTGGACGTGGGCAAACGCCTTAAGTTCCGTGAGCTTTGACAGTCTGTCTGGGAGGCAGGGCTCAGGCATCCCTGGCCTCTTGGGGTTGGGTGAGAGGGAGATTGAGAGGTTTTTGAAGCGCTTTGCACACCTGGGCATCTGGTCAGTGTTCAATAAATGCCCGCTGGACTCAGTGGCGCATGCCTGTAATCCCAGCACTTTAGGAGGCTGAGTGGGGAGGATCACTTGAAGCCGGGAGTTCAGGGCCCAGCCTGGGCAACAGGGAAAAAGACACTCACCTCTACAAAATAAAAAAATTAGCACAGCATAGTGGTGCTGCGTGCCCGTGGTCCCTGGTACTCAGGAGACTGAGGTGGGAGGGTTGTTTGAACCCAGGAGATGGAGGCTGCAGCGAGCTACAATCACACCACTACATTCAGCCTGTGCGTCAGAGGGAGACTCCATTTCTGAAAAAAATAATAACAATAACAAATAAATGCTGGCCAGGCATGGTGGCTCACACCTGTAATCACAGCACTTTGGGAGGCTGAGGCGGGTGGATCATTTGAGATTGGGAGTTTGAGACCAGCCTGGCCAACTGGTCTCTACTAAAAATACAAAAATTACCTGGGCATGGCAGCATGCACCTGTAATCCCAGCTACTTGGGAGGCTGAAGCAGGAGAATCTCTTGAACCCAGGAGGCAGAGGTTGCAGTGAGCCCAGATCGTGCCACTGCACTCCAGCCTGGGTGACAGAGCGAGACTTCATCTTGAAAAAATAAATACATTAGAAAAGAAAATGCCAACACAGGAGACTTGGGAGAGCTCCAGCTCCCAAGGCCGTGCTAGGAACAACAGGGAGAGGCCCCCTCCCGGCCAGCGCCTCCCTGATGCCAGGCCTGGGACCGTCCACGTTAGATCAGTCGGGCCCAGATCAGAAGCATTGTGGACCACGACCTGCCACGGCTGAGACGATGGGGCCTCCTGGGGCTGTGGGAGCAATATTTTGAACTCAACACTGTTGACTTGTGTTAACGGGTAATGCTTACTGTTGTCATGTTCATGCTCATGGGGCCACAGCGCTAGCTCCCAGCCCTCCTAAGGCCATGAGGTAGACGTTGTTGTTATTCCCATTTCACAGATGAGGAAACTGAGGCTCAGAGAAGTTAGGTCACGGGCCCAAGGTCACCCAGTAGGAAGTGGTCAGTCTGGTCCCACAGCTCATGCCTGACCCCTCTGGCTTTGGCATTGAGGTTTGGTTATTGGTGTCTTTTGCTTAGTTAAGTGTAGATTTCGGGGTGGGAGGGGGGCCAGGCCCTGCCTGACGGAGTCCCCTCTGTCCCCTGCCACTCCAGTTCTGTTCCACATGTACGACTCGGACAGCGACGGCCGCATCACCCTGGAAGAATATCGAAATGTAAAGTATGCTCCTCTGGCCCGCCCTGGGTTCCTGGCACCTCCCTCCCGCCCCCCACGACCCTGATGGAGGCCCAAGGTCACCGTTTGTTTCCGCCCCACCCGGCAGGTGGTCGAGGAGCTGCTGTCAGGAAACCCCCACATCGAGAAGGAGTCCGCTCGCTCCATCGCCGACGGGGCCATGATGGAGGCGGCCAGCGTGTGCATGGGGCAGATGGTGAGCGCCCCGCAGCCCTCCTGAGACACGCAGTGCCTTTCCTGCTTATGCGCTGTGTTTCTGGAAGGCCTCACGGGGCATGGGGCCTGGTGTATTTTGCCACCTGCTCTACCTGTGGCCTGTGGGGCTCAGAAACCTCTCCCAGCCCTTCCTGTTCCCCAGGAGACTGAAGGTCCCAGTTCCCAGAGAACTGCACAGGCAGGGAAGCGAGCTCGAGGTCCAGGAGCCCCCACCTGCATAGCCCCCCAGCCCCCATCCTGGCCTCAATCAGTGCTCATAGCAGCACTGGGCCCTGGAGCCAGGCCTGGGCAGCACATGGCACAGGCTGGCCCGAATTAGTTTATTAACAAATGACTCAGAGGCGACTTCTGGCCTTGGAGCAGGGGTCAGCAGGGAGCCCTGTTGGGGACTGACAAGAGCCGATGGCGTAGGGTCAGGTGGAGGAGCTGAGGTAGGGGCTGGTGTGTAAACGACATGGAAGAGAGGGGAGCGGCCTTCCCATGTTCATCATTTCCTACATTTTGCCTCATTTTGACTGGTGGGGAAACTGAGGCTCAGAGAGCATAGAGAATCCTCTAGACCTTGCGATCTTTCCTGTGCTGGGAAGATTTCCTCTTGTAAGGACAGGTGCAGCCCCGCCAGCCCCCAGCCCTGAGGCTCTAAGCCTCGGGACCACTCAGGAAGGCAGGTGACCACCTGGGTGTCGTGTGTTCCCTGAGGGGTTTGGATGGCCCCACTGACACGGTCAGCCCTTTGCCCCTGTGTGTCTAAAGCAGGTGCATCTCTATACACCCTGATGGTTTTGTGTTTGCCTAGCCCGGAGCAGAGGGGGGTTCATGCTGGATCCTGCTCTCTGTGCCCCAACCCTGTCCTTGAGGGACATGAGGCCACCTGCCTGGGCCTGCTCCCAGAGGTGGGGGCTGTGGTCGGTCGGCTTCCTGGCATGTGTTTTATCTGTCTGCCTCTGGAGCCCGGGGGGAAGCTTCTGGCTTGGGTGAAACCTCTGCACTCAGCAGATTAACCACCACAGGAGACGGCTCGTGACCTCGATGGGGAGAGCAGGGATCCCCGCCGGTTGTCGGGCCAAATTTCCATTTGATTTAATTACACTCTCCTTCTTCAAATTGCTCCCTGTCCCACTCCAGTTTCAATTGGTGACAGTTTTCTTAATTTGCTGTAGTGAAATTGCTGGCAGCTGCTGATCTGCATAAAACCCCAGCAGCCTGGGAAGCAGCGGCATCTCGGGGCTGAGGCGGGCTCCGGGGTGCACCCGCTGCCCACAAGCCCCCGGGAGGTGGAGGTAGCCCCGGAACCAGGAAGGCAGCTGCCAGGCAGCGGGCTCATCTGCACCTCTTTCTTCACTCATGGGTCCTCCGGGCGCTCTTAAAACTGGGCGCTCTTAAAATCCTTCTGGTGTAAACCTCGGCCCGATAAACCCAGACCAAGTTGTGTACAGGCCTGAGCTGGGGGCAAGGGGCAGCTGCATCGGTTCAATGCCGCCTGGCCTCTGAGGACACTTCCCGTTCTCACCGTGCTACC